AAAACTCTCCTTAATCTTATATACTGTTCCAAAGCCCTTTGCATCTGATTCCCACGAAATAAAATTTATCCAGCACACATTTTAACTCTACATAACAGAAACCCATTCTATATACTTTCTTATAACTATTATTATTAACTAAACTAAAACCAGAGTGACTGGTTGAATAATGTTGATGAAATGACATTGTATTAAATAACAATAACACTTTTTATTAAACTCAACTGAAATGTTACAGACTCCCTGAACATTGTAAATCAAACAGCTGCAGGATTATTTGATAAAAATTTAAAAGTTAAAAATACCAGGTTAAATGTTTTTTTTTTATAATATTTTCATGAGAAAAAAAAAAACAAGCAATAAAACTTTACACTCTCCTGTACAGCAGGTGGCAACATGCAGACAGGATTTGTAACTAAAGAACAAAAAGAAGAAGTGGTTCATGATTTTCACTGTTTGCAAGTTCTTTAGAATTGTTTTCTGAGCTTTTCAGAAACTGCTGATCTACTGATTTTCACACTCAACAGTCTCAAGGTTTTACAGAGAATGGTACAAAAAAGAGAACATATCTTAATCCAGACGAGCACCTCTGCATTGTGGTGGAATGGGATAAATCTGCAGCATTTGTGTGATGCCATCATGTCAATATAGAACAAACTCTCTGAGGAATATTTCCAGGACCTTGTTGAATCCATGGCAGGAAGGATTAAAGCAGAAAAATGGAGGTACAAGCTGGTATTAACACAGAGTACCTAATAAAGTGGCCAGTGAGTGTATCTTGATGTACGATGCACTCCTTGACCAACAATAAGCAAGTAATTAATTTACTGTATATATTTTATAAACATCCGACATTTCTATTTTTTGAAGAATGCCGTGTTAATCATACATTGGCTTAACTATCCCATGCACTTATATTTGATGCATATTAGTCTGAATGTGAAAGAGTGCAGATAGTGAGGCAATGTTGAGCCAAAATAGATGAGTGCGGGGTAACAACACACCAGAGAAAAACTAAATAAATAATGAAAGAGAGGAGAGAAATCAAAGCTCTTTCTGTGGGCTTTGATTTAGAGTCCTCCCTCTCCACAGCCTCATTCAGCTCTCTCAATCAGCACATATTCCATAGGGTCAGAGAAAAAAATAAGATGAATGACACATTGTTTTGATGGAAACGGCTCTGTTGAAAACAAACAAACAAAAACGTACAAGTGTGGGCATTGTTTTGTTTTTGGTATCCATCAAAAAGTTTGATTGAAAAGGGTTGCATCGGGAAGAATGGATATAGAAATTAGACAATTGATACATATTTTCTCTGTTTTGGTTTTGTCAAACAGTTTAGGAATATATTATGAAATACTAATAGTCCCATAAAGGGGTCTGCTACTCTCATTTCTCAAAGAATCAAGTGAGCGTGTAAATCGACTATGACTTCTTTAACTTCTGGAATAGCTGCTTAGCTTCTTGCTAAAAGCAATACACAAGTGAACCCTTGCTGCTGCTGCTGAATCTCAGCTGTTCCTCTTGTCACTAATCTTGTCTTGTCTGCTTTGATGAAGTGCTTAAAACAAACAATGCTGAGCTTCATTCATAAAAGCTTACACATACTTACAATATAATTTATAAACTATACGGCTAAAGTTTGTACGAAATCTTTGCTGCTGGCTTGTATAAAGTGTAGTTTGAAAGTATATAACCCCCATGACTCAATGACTTTCCTAAGCTGAGATAGAGATACAGCAAATTGGCTGCTATGGTAAAAAGTCTGGTTGCTGTGGAGAGGTCAGTGACATCATCTAAAGTCATTTTGAGGTAAATTCATCAACCCCCACATCACCTTAGCTGCGACATTTACAATTGGTTTCTAGGCCGTCAGTGATGTCATAAAAATGTAATTTGTTACCGTGATTAACATAAACAAACCTCCATTACTCTATGATGTTTCATCATGTGGCCGTCAAAGTCAACGGTAAATATTTAACCTCTTCTGTAGCTTAGGGTTCAAATAATTTTGCATAATTTGGCTGGTATTTTCCTGGACAGACTGATGAATTTCGCAAGTTTGGTCAGTTTGAAGATTTCATGTGCTTCTCAGTTTAAGTTGTTAAAGAAGTCATGAAATGTTGAGCCTTATATAGTTCTAAGAGTAGATTGAATCAAACCGGAAACACCAAACGAAAAACTATTTTGCTTCTTTTAAAAAACTGGTTTTATTGACACCTTTGACAAAGTCACACGAGTCCAATGGTTACATCTAGGCTGGACATGAAAGGCCCGCCCGCTTTCCATACACCCAGAAGTAATGCGCTATCAACAAAGCAACACCTTCTCTCTTGATATCCAGAAACAAACCCAAGAGATTCAAACAATGGGTAATAACACACAAATGTGAAGGGTAAGTAAATTAAGTTAGCTATACCACAATGAACCGAAATCATTCGATGCAACTTTAGTGAACAGGCCATTTCTTGGGCTTGAAAACATTTGGCTGAGCCCAAACGCAGCTAAAAGCAGCTAGAAAGTGTTGAAATGCCTCGAATAATAACAGATTCAAGGGCACATATATTTGGGTGACTGATTCATGACACTCAATTTTTGCTCAAAAACATGACTTTATTTTATTGATAATCGATAATATACATTTACATTTATGCATTTTTGCAGATGCTTTTATCCAAAGGAACTTACATTTGAAAGAATGAACACATTTTTTGTCAGTTCTTGCTTTCCCTGGGATTTGAACCCACAACCGTTGCGTTGTTAGCGCAATGCTCTAACAACTGAGCCACAGGAAAGTAGTGCGGTAAGTGCGTTACATGGAGGATATGATACACCAACATTAAGATCTGGGTCACCACTGAACGCGGTCATAAGTTGTTACCCTGGAAACAATCAGTATTGAAAAGCTCAGTATTGAAGCTGCTCATAATTAATCTCCCTCACATCCACCATCAGGCAGAAACTTTGCATACACATCATGAATATGCAAATCAGTAACCAATAGGTGAGTAACTGGGGAGTAGTTACAGTTTTCTGAAAATCACATTTCTGTAATAAACCTGGGCTAGAGATTCAATATGATTTTAATTAAAACCAGAGACTTTTTGGGGAAAAAAAATCACATTTCCCATACAACTACACCAATTTGAACAACATATTACAAAAAATAAAACAATGTCATTCTCAGTTATATATTAGAATTCTTTTAGTGGTACTAGTCTGAAAAATCTTAGCAAACAGAGTCAGACCAGTTTGCATGTCTTGGAAAATTTTGGCTATGTTTCTCGAACTGTCTAT